GGGGGGGCAGCATAGCACTGAGCACCCCAAAACTGACAACGATTCAATTAAGCTAAAATGAGGGTCTTCTTTTTAAACGTAACTAACGATGAAGTGTAAACCGTTGTTGGACAGTCGGCGCCGTCTAATATTCGCAAAGCAAAGCTGTGAATCGAGGGTGAAAGTTGTTGCTTGGCTTTATCACTTGCCGAGGGGCGTCGGAGAATAAGGTTTCGGGAGGATTACAGGGCACAGGTTATGCTTGGGGCTCCACGTAATGTGGGGTGGGGGCACACCGAAAGGCCCCCGGCTCGACTGCCCTGGTGGCCCACATTCCCTCTACTGGGGACGTTTTTGCTGAACCTCTGTATCAGAGGGTAGAGCAGTGCCCGATTGCAGGAGAGGGGCGGGTTAGAAGAGGGCACGAGGGGGTCCGGCCCCCGTGGGAAATGGTGGCACATATCCTGAGCACGAGGGTTAGACTCCTTACTCACAGTGCCACCGTGTGGTACCTACAGTAGCTTAGCCCTAACATGGACAGCCACCAAGTAAATGGAAGGAACACTAGACGGAGGAGGAGGAGGATTGAAGTACTAATTGGGGAGGCGAGGAAGGTGGGTGACCCCCCACGCCCCCGCCTTGTCGACCCGTGAGGGCTTTAATTGAGGCCTTAATGTGGAGCGAAGGGAGACTGGGGCTCGAGTGCATGGAGGAGGTGAGGTCTCATGTGAATGATTGCAATAATACTCAGCCCTTGACATGACAAGGGGAGCGGCTTTTATAATGTGCGGCACGAGAGATGAAACATGCACAAATGTCTGCAAAATACACATTTTTGTCCACGAATTAAATATAGAGTGCTCAGTAAAAAAAAAAAAAAAAAATTCACCCACATAAAAATTTTGGTCCATAATTTGGGTATGATGTGCACACAAAATACTCATTTGTGGCCACCAAATATCACATTTTGACCTTAAAATACACATTTTTTTGTCTATGAAAAACACGCACACAATTTTTTTTATTAATTTTTTATTTTTTTAGGGCTTTTATAATGTGCGGCACGAGAGATGAAACATGCACAAATGTCTGCAAAATACACATTTTTGTCCACGAATTTAAATATAGAGTGCTCAGTAAAAAAAAAAAAAAAAATTCACCCACATAAAAATTTTGGTCCATAATTTGGGTATGATGTGCACACAAAATACTCATTTGTGGCCACCAAATATCACATTTTGACCTTAAAATACACATTTTTTTGTCTATGAAAAACACGCACACAATTTTTTTTGTTAATTTTTTATTTTTTTAGTTTTTGGTCTGCCAAATACAATTTTTGTCCATGAATTAGGTATAACGTGCACACAACATACTAAATTGTGGCGAAAAAATACTCAAATGGGGCTGCGAATTGGACATCACGTATGCACAAAGTTGTCATTTGTGCTGGTGAAATACTAATTGTGGACACGAGATGCAAATTTGTGATGACAAAGTAGTGCCAACGAAATGATAATTAATCTCCAAACTAGTCATTTTAATCCTGAAATACTCATTTGTGGCTGCAAAATACTAATTGTTGCCATGAGATGCACATTTGTGACCACAAATTCGTCATTTTGGACCGCAACATAGTAATTACTGGCTGCAAAATTCAAATTTCGACTGTGAATTTTGTGCTCACGAAATCATTTGTGAAATATTTGTATTTTAGCTATATTTACAAAATGTGACCTTCTAATTTGTGGCCAGGCATAATGGCAGCTGCAAAAAATGCTTCCGTGGGTTTGACGTCTCACACACTTTGTCATGTCTGGGGCTTTGTACAATATTGTGTACGGTTTTTACAAGCGTAAGTGAGCGTGTGTCACAAAGAAAGGTGCTGCAATACAATACGAAGTACTGTAGCGGTCAATTTCAGCCTTTTATTCTCCGCCGTTGTCTTTTGACCTTTTCTCCTGCCATCCTCCGCCTTTCTTCTTTTTCAAGTCTTAATTTGTGACCATCGTTTGCTCTCGTTCTCTTGCTCCTCCCCCCCGCCCCCCCTCCGCTGTTCACTGATTAACAGTATTGACTCACAATGATCAAAATGGGAGAAACCGCCACAGTCATGAATTGGGTTTTAACGCAGTGCCGTGAGGAGGAAGGGGGATTAAAAAAAAAAGATGAGGCGCTTAAAAGGAAGTTTAACTGTCCTCTGCAGGTCTGGAAAATTACATTAAATAAAAGTGAAACCTCAAAAGACCTGGCGTTTGTCATGCTGTTGTCATTTCGAGAAGCTGATCGTGTTGTGTTTCATGTTGCCCACTAGGCGGCGACACAACACTCGGGTCAAGTCTGCTTACAAGGTGAGCGTTTCCTAAACTGGCCAGCAGAGGGCGACTCCACTGGTTGCAGAGCAGGTACTGGGCTGTCACTTCCGTAGCGCTTTTCTACCTTTGGAACTCGAAACGCTTGACATTGCTTAGGTGACGCAGCACCAGTACTGTATGTTCAAAGTAAAGTTCTCACATCGAATTTATTGCGAAAGACGAGTGGAAAAAGTAGTCACATTCTTTAAGTAGAAGTACAGATACTTGTGTAAAAAACAAAAATAACAAAACTGACTCAATATTTTCAACAAAGATTTCAAACGGGAGGAGGAATAAAACAATAAATAAAAAAATGAATAAATACTTTTTTAATTCCCCAAGTTTAGGAATTTAAAAAAAAAAACGAAATGAACAAAGATGACATTGATAATGTAAAGGCTCGTGTGACCATATTTGGGTGAGGGCGTCAGCAAATATCACGACATGTTTGTAGGAAGAAATAGTTCACATATCAATATTAGGAATCACTCCAAATCCACTAAATAGCAACCTACAGTGGATATTAAAAGTCTACACACCCCTGGTTTTATGATTAAAAAAAAAGACAAATCATTTAGAATCTTTTTCTCCTATTAATGTGACCTATAACCTTTTAAGTGTTTATTTGTGAATCATTCTTAGAAAGGAGGTAAAAAGAAACCATTGAGGTTGCACAAATGTGCACACCCTCTTATAACCACAGCTGTATTTAGAACAACCAATAACACTCATTAAATGGGGGTCAGCACAATATTAAAGCGCTCTCTGGTTCACACCAAAGTTCAGCTAGTCTAGTAGGCTTTTCCTGATCCCCTAAGATGTGCAGGTGACAAGTCACATAAAAAGGTGACAAGAGGTCTGCAATTATTTCTCTTGGGCTCATATTTCATTCTACAAAAACCTCGCAGTCGAACAGGGGTGTGCCAACTTTTTAGAACCGTATTTAGCCAGTTCACCATTTCGCTGACGGCGACGGTCACGTGTGGTCCTTGCAAGTGCGCACGTCCACCACCTGGCGGCAGTCTCTGCAGTGCACGGCGCAGCACCAGTGGAATTTGCATTCACATTTGGCACTGCGGCTCACCCGCGCTGTGTCGTAGCCTCGCCCGCAGCACATGACCGAGCAGCCGTCCGCTCCCCGAGACGTCACGTTGCACCGCCGGCCACCCGTACCCACGGAGCCTGTGAGGGAGATGCGTGTCACGGTTGGCATGGAAACGTCCCCTTAAGGGTGGGCGGGCGGGCAAATTAGTATCAGCGTTGGCGTTTGAAGTCGAACCTGTGTCGTGATCATGCACGCAAAAGTCGGGAGATTCGTCCGAGTAGACTAGCTGGTTCTTCCCCGGTGCCGCGCGCCTTCCCGCCGCGCTCAGCGTCGTCAGAGCCGCTCCGTACTGGTTGACGGCCACGTGGACGGCACGCTCGTATTTGCGGCGGAGTTCGTCACCGGTGCGACGAGCCGCTCACGCCGTGGCACTTGCACTCCAAGCTTAGGAGACGCTTCACCGCCTGACGGATGCGCAAAATCGACAAGTTACACAATGTCACACCGCCTTG